GCCGTAGAATGCAAGAAACACGAAAGTGTAACTGTTGGGAAAATAAATACGGTACCCTACTCATGAGTAGTCTAGTGGACACAGAGAAAGAAACATCTAATTACGAATAGTAATTAACAATACCCATACATTTCTGTGAACCTCCGTTCACTAATAGGATGACAGAAGCATTCATTGCCTGCTCCCAATGAGTGCACAAAAGTAGCAAGTTTTTCAGGTTAAATGTATGTGGAAAGCCTAAAAGTTCGCGATCTGAATATAAAACACCTAAACAATTGAGATCCACAGGTTCGAAACGGATAAAGTGATCAAAAGAAACAGGTACTTGTGACCATCCCACTGATATTGGCTTACTACAACAAAGGACATTTCAATGTCTGAGGAGAAATGGCTTTGTAACTGCGTCATCCTTAAAAATGGGAATTCTGCCTCTTCTTGTTTAGAGTGCACATTAAGGTGAACGTTGAACTCGTGTGCGCTGATTACATAAAAGTCGGTGAAGATATTTTTGTATGACAAGCTATCATGGGTGACACATTGGTATCACTGGCGTGGAACGCAACGGGGTAATATCATGTTATATCAATAAAGCCAGGTTTCAGATACGCAGGCTAGATTAAGGGATGAAAGCCTTGGGGCCCAAGGGTTAGGGCTACGTAAGCGTCATGAGCATGTGGACATTGGAACATTGTTACCGAATAAAAGGCTGTTTTTCTGATGAAAATAGCTACTTGATTTTTACCAGTGTGATCATCTTTAGTTCAAAGTACCCAGATAATGGGTAGACAACTGAAAAAAATGTCAAAACAGAAAAATACATTGGTCCTCCAGGGCAACGATGCCATAACCTTGCCTGATCACTGTGCGGTATCTTTTGGTAACACTAATACACCCCCCACCCAAGGTGCCTCTATCCATGGTGTTAGTCTGTCATCCACGGAATTTTCACCGACCGTCATGCTTTCAGACCACATTTATTTAACATTCATCTTAGTGTACATCCTAACCGGGAAAGACGTCGCCCATTTGAAGGATCACAGCAATTTCTTTGTGGATACCAAAATAGCCTAATTGTAGCCTTCCTCTCGTCGCAGAAAATCAAGAACTGTCAGGGAGACGGTGACATACTACTTGTTAGTGAAGGTCAACTGAGTACCATTCACGAAAATCGGGTTGTGCTATTCCGTCTCTTTGAACTTTGAAGATAATGAGCATAGTGCTAAGTGAATCGGTAGGTTTGTGCGTGAATTGTTTTTTGGTGGATTTGGAGTTCTTGTAACTTTGACCTACAGTGTAAGCTATCTTCTGACAAAGGATTATAGTTGGCCATATCTACATCAAGCTTAATTATTTTCTTTCTGATTAGTGAAGTACCATTGATAATTTAGAATATATTTCCACAGAATTTTCCCCGTCATTTGATTTTATGTGTGACTGCTCGAAATTCTTTTCCTTCCTAATTCCTAGCAGCAGCAACAGCTTGGCACACTGGGCGGTTCTGTGGCCGGTTTGAACGCAAACGCTTCCGAACAAATGGCGCAAGCAGTACGCGCTCAGCAACAGGTGCTGGAACTGGTACGCAGTATGCCCTACGGTCAATCACCACTTTTTCGCTATTTGAACACATCGTCAGCAAGTAGTGATGGAGTCGCGGGAGCCGACGAAAATAAGGATGGCACTACAAGCGCTACCGGCCCCGGCGGAACTGCAGTGGCCCCGGCAAAGCTGGTGGCTAACGCATTAGCCGAGCGACACAAAGCTGCTGGTTTAACTATGGGCT